ATCAGGATTCCTAATGAAACACAATGCATGTTTTTTTCTGGTAATTAGTAATCACCTACACTGCATCATTGATGATCAGGTGAGTCTTTGCAACATCACAAAATGTTAGTTGTAGTTCTAACGTGATTTATTAAGATTTTATGTTATGTTTACTAAGTTGCCATATGATTAATTTGATTATATTATTTATCTTTATCAGTTACTTCAGGACCGTTGTAGGTTTTGCGTTAATAAAATGTCTGCCGTCTGCCGCCCCCTGCTGGCCAAAGCATCACCGCTGCGATATCAGGCTGCTGTGCTCAGTCACCAGAGAGCGCGGATTAAAGGGCTTCACAGACCAAACGCGGCTCGCACTGCGCTGCGCTCTGAAACCCATTATTTCCTATGGCTTGCGCGGCGCAAAGACGGTTTCGCGCTGCGCCGAGCAAAGAGCAAGCGCAGCGCCAGAGCGGTACCGCGCGCCGCGTGCCGGTGCAACAACAAAATGACAGGAGAGTGTTTTGAAAGCCACGCCCATTTTTCCCGCTGAAGCCCCGCAGCGAGCGCATTGCATTGAGCGGACACCGCTGTTGTTTTGACTGGATGCGCAAACCTCGCGGCGTGCACAACGCATGCCGCGTTTGGTCTGTGAAGTGTGTTACTCAGTTACGCTCTGGGCAGCACTGAACCAGGACATTAATAGGATAGAATAGGAAGCCTTTATTGTCAGTGTACAGGTAGGAAATACAATATACATATATATATATATATATATATATATATATATATATATATATACATATACAGGGGAGGGGAAAAGCTCCCCCTAGTCATCAGGCTTACATTTCATTACATTTTATTTTATTCAGAATCAAAATTCACTCTATTGGTACAACTGCATCTACCATGATTTTGTTTTGGCAGTTTTGGTACATTCACAGACAACACAGAACATAAGTCAGAGAAAAACAGTCATTTTGCATGGGTTTGGCAAGCTGAAGAAACATTCATTTATTTTTGTCTGACATACGTCACACTTCAGACAGAGTAAAAAGGGTTATACTGGTTAAAAAGCAGAGATTTTACCTTTTTGCCACGGAGAAGCAGCGACATGTGACAAAAATGATTCCTCCAGCACATAGTGAGCTATCCCAGCATGCACAGGGACACGGAGGAGTTTTTATTAATACCATCATGAAGCCCAGCATCTCCATTAGGGGTGTTCGGTTCCGGGTGTTTTGGAGTCGACTCCGACTCCCGACTCCTAATTTTGGAGTCGGTGGAATCGACTCCTCGACTCCATTTACTTTGAATTAAAATAGGGTCAGGATTCAGAAGGTGCGTCTCAATATGCTTCCTCGTTTCCTCACTTCTCGCTCGTATGTCCTACGACCCTGAAACCGATCGAGCTCCGCTCTCATGTAGGACATCTAAATTCTTTAATTCCACCGGGAGGAGGGCGAGGAACGAGGAGGCTTCCTGAGGAGTCAAGAGCGAGGATACAAATGTTTCCTATACTAAAATGTTTAATCAACTAAACCTTATAAATCCCCCTCCTTTTCACATCGCAGCTTCTTCAAATCATATTGGTTCGTAAAACCTACTGCAGTGTTCTGTGCCAATCACAACCAATTGACTGTATTGAACCACATCATGATTGATTGAGCCGCAAAACAGACCCAACAGAAAAAAACTATCTATACATTATTGTTCTTTGTTTTCCTGGCATTACTTATTTTTTCCTCTCATTTCTTTATCTTTTTGTTTTAATTTCTGTATCTTTACATTCATTATAATCTTTTCGTTATAGTGAACTGTTGCTGTGTTGAACTTGAAAAAAACACTCGACACTGGGAGTCGATTCCTGACCTGGAGTCGATTCCGACACTAGGGCTAGTGAGAGTCGAGGAATCGACTCTTTTGGAGTCGACTCCCCATCTCTAATCTCCATCATTATCACTGTCACACCTCACACACTAACTAACACAGAACTCGCTCCAATACACACATTTTATTCCCAATATACTCACGTGGCCGCCCGAGTCTGCGGCGCTGAGACACGCTGGGGATCGAACTGCACTTTAGCCTGCGCTCTATTATTCTGAACGATGCATAAAATATAAAACAGCACAGCGTCCCCTAACGAAGCAGGAATTCAAGTATGTGAAATACCTCAGGAAATGTCGGACGCCCGCGAGACGCCGGCGGGAAGACGCGCTGAAATGCTGCGCGTGTTAAACTAATATGCTTAATTACAGGTAAATAAAATTACAAACAACGTTCATCAAACATATTAACCATAAAATTATACGACAAAGATTACCACTAAAATTGAGTTTGTCTTTCCGTCACGATATGAACTTCTTTCAAATCACTTTGGACACACACCTCTCTTCAGCAGCGCGTGGACGCGAACGCATCTAGGCTGATTTGTCGGTAAGCGAAGCGCAACACTCGCGTATTATGCCGCGCATGCGTACAGGGAAACGTTCATATTTCTTCGGTCAAGCTGTGTAATTTGCACATGCGCACATGTCATATTTAAGTATTATTATTATTAGTAAATTCTTATTCTGCTATTCCCTGCACATGTACTACAGCAGTGAGGTTTGTGTATGTTTCCCTACGTTTTACAAATTCAAAGCGTCAGTTCACAGGGTTGCCAACTTTAATCTACTGGCTGGCGTGAGATTTTCAATTCGGGACAAGTCTGCACACACATGCATACGCATTTATAAGTATGTAACAGTTTTATTGGGGTGGCAGTATGGTGACGTTTTGTCAGGGGACATTGTCTTTACTTACGGTACAGATAGTTTTAAAGTAACATCTGATTTTTTAAAGAATGAGTGGCCAGAAGAACTGTATATTTTCAGAGGCAAGAAAGAACATTTTCCGAACACTATGGTGTCCTGTGTACAGCGTCTTCAAAATTAAGTATAAGTTTATAAGAAAGCAGTGTCATGTACAAGGACATTCTAAATTGCCTACTTTCATAAGTAGCGTTATTTTTCAATGCAGTTCCATCCATCCATCCATTTTGTGCCACTTATCTAATCTAATATATAACATGTAATCTATATATAATGTAGTATGTATTATATATAATCTCTCAGGGTGTATATAATATATAATCTCTGGGTCTGCTCTGGGGCTTCCTTCCGGTTGGACATGCCCTGAAACACCTCCCCAGAGAGTCATCCAAGAGGCATCCTAGATAGATGTCCGAACCATCAACTGACTCCTTTCAATGCGGAGGAGCAGCGGCTCTACTTTGAGCCCGAATGTCTGAGCTCCTCACCCTCACTCTAAGGCTGAGCCCCAACTCCCTGCTGAGGGAACTAATTTCTGCTGCTTGTATTACAATCTCATTTTTTCGGTCATTACCCAGAGCTCATGACCATAGGTGAGGGTAGGAACGTAGATCAACTGGTAAATTGAAAGCTTTGCCTTCCAGCTCAGTTCCCTCTTTGTCCAAATTGCAGGCCTGGAAGGAATGGGAAGATGAGCTACGATTGCTTCCCGGCATAAGTATACCTCGTCCGTATGTTCCAGTAACAGTGTCCACCACAGAAGCAGTCAGAGACCTCCATGTCTTCTGTGATGCCTCAGAAAAGGCATATGGGTCGGTGGCTTACTTGCACACAGAAGACAGCAACAACCAGGTCCATTTGTCCTTTGTTATGGCACGTTCTCGAGTGGCACCCAAAAGAATGTTGTCAATGCCACGTTTAGAGCTCTGTGGAGCAGTTAGTGGAGCTCAACTGGCCCAGCTTCTGGAAAAGGAGCTGACCTTGTAAATTCGACACACTGTCTTTTGAACTGACTCCACTACTGTGTTGAGATGGCTACAGTCTGATTCCTGCCATTTTAAGGTGTTTGTCGGGACTAGAGTAGCAGAAATCCATGAACTAACCGAGCACTCTTCATGGCGTTATGTTGATTCTCCCAGAAACCCGGCTGATGATCTCACCAGAGGGAAGACCTTGAAAGATCTTATAGAGCCAAACAGGTGGAGTCAAGGGCCTTCATTTCTTTTTCAAGGTCCAGAAGAATGGCCAATGAAGCCGGAAGTTAGTGGTGAAATAGATCCCACCGAACT